TGCAAAACACGGGATTATAACAGAAGAAGCCACGAGACCGATTTACCAACACCCATATCCTGCAGGTTCCTTAAAGTTACGTTACATGTCACGTTACCATACACTAATATTATGCCGCGACATAGTGCCTGCATTCAAACAAAGCGCCCATCAACACGCGCACAGGGACATACATGCGCGCCGTCTAGTGTTGCGCAGAGACGATGATGATAGCACGAGAACCCAGCTGGCCCCTGCTAATGTGCGCCACGCGCTTGGGACTCTTCTTGAAGAAGTGAAGAAGAAGACATCTTGATGTTCTGCTGTAACGTGCTACGACCATAGTCCCTTTGAGTTGTGGGCACAGGTTCGCCCTTTATTAAATACGTTTTATTATACCCCGAGTCCTTCAACATCGTTACAATATCCCTCACTCATAGGGCATCCAGGCAGTTATCTGCGCGTATAACGATTGTGACGACAACAAACCAGTTTCCGCATCTACGTTAGCTACGTTGCTTAAGCTCATTTTCAAACTTAACAATTTCGAATTTGATGGGATGCATTATGTTCAAGTTGGCGGTACATCTACTGGCACAAGAATTAGACCAAACTACGGAAACATGTTCATGGGGCTCCGTGAAAACAACTTTTTTGCAAACTGAATATAAGCCATTTTACTATAAGCGGTTCTTCGTCGACATTTCCGTAATCTGGCACCATGGTGAATCACTACTTCTTTCTTTCATAGCAGATCTTACCAACGCTCATCCGGCAATTTCTTTTTCTTACTCGTATTCACATGTCAACATAAGGTTCCTTGATGTCATGGTCCCTCTACATAAAGGGAAGCTGATAACTAATCTTTACAGGAAACCTACAGATAGGCAGCAATATCTTCACTTGAGTAGTAGTCACGTGGACCACAATAAAACTAGTATTCCCTACAGTCAAGCAGTCCATTTTAATAGAATATTCTCTGATAGCAGCGAATTTTCACGCCACTGCGCATACCTTGGGAGCGTGCTCGAAATCAAAGCTATCTTTCCAGCATAATCACAGACGCCATCAAACTTGCAGAACTCGGCCGTTCAGATCTGCTGCGTAACAAAACGACCTAAACATAGTTCGCGGACTAACCTAATTTTGACACACTTTATTACAGAGCAAGCGGCTCAAAGAAATCTTTACGGAACAACCATGCGTGGTCTACCGACGATCGCGGAACCTTCGTCATTTACTAACCTTATCTAAAAGCACGTGTTCACGTCATGAAGGCGTTCATCCCAGCAAAAAACCACGTTCCAAAGTGTGCGCGCACAGGACGACATCTAAAACAGTTTCAAGTACCTGATCTAGCTTTTCATTAAAGATAAACGGGGACTACACATGTGCTAGTACCAAAGTCGTCTATATTCCCGAGTGTTCAATATGCAAAGTTCAATACATAGGTCGAACAGAGACAAGTTTCAGAATTCGTTTTAATGACCACCGCGCACACGCCGGTAGCCTGCCTAATCTACCACTGTCGAAGCACGGCCGTACGCCTGGCCACGGTTTCGATAAAATCATGGCCACTATTATGCAGTCCGGTTCCAAGACAAATCATGATGGGGAAGTGAGGGAATCCTTCTTGATCCTCAAATTTAACACCATTCGTTCAGGTATCAACGAAAACGTAGAAAAACTCACCTGTCTCGCCCTGTAACAACACGACTTCCTAAATAGTAAAATCTTTTATAGTATAATAAAATGTATATTAGCCATCCGTGGTTTCTCTACTTCAGAGCTCATTTACATATCCTGCCAACCACACTGTGTCTCACACGTGTTGATGTGCAAGGAAATTTAAAACTTGTATATTCATGCACCCGTTGCATGTCAGGCATGTTAACACAATCTTTCTGACAGATAACCTCGATTGTCCTAGCTGCTGCACCGAGAGTTCATCACGTGAGGCCATAAAAGCGGCTGCATTTTATCATACCTAATCAATCCAATCAGACGAAGGCCGTGCGACGGCCGAAACGTTAGTGAAGGCAATTTCCTTTTGAAATGTGCTATCTGCAAGTTCAATCAATATATATATATATATATATATATATATATATATAAATATATACATATATATATATATATATATATATATATATATATATATATATATATATATATATATATATATATATATATATATATGTATATTCAAGCGTTCGACGCATTTCAGAGTTTGGAGGTTTCGCTACAATTAGGCCAGGCTCAAAAAGGAAGCCTCCTTGTGACTTAAGAGCTTGTTACTATGAGCGGGGCATAGTAAGCCTTCAGGCGCTCTGAACAATGTCCGAAAATTTCTCGATGGATTCGATCAAACCGGAGATGCGCGTTCCATGGCACGGTAGAGGTCTTCATATTTCCGGAATAGTTTAAAAGAAAGGAAGCTACAGAGGTCAGAATTGCGAACCATACGAGTGCACCAGGAAGGAATGGGGGCTCAGAAGTGGCGAAGCCATCGCAAATACTCTTCTGCTACTCTTCCTCATGGGTCTTAAAGGTCCTGGCATGCTCACGACCTTCTTCAGCAAGCGTACCTGTCTCAGAAATAGGTGCACCCTCATGAATCCGGCTTGTACGGGTTTATTGTGTCGATGGTGTGTGACGGATGCTTTCCGTACAGCAAGAAGAAAGGTGAAAAACCAGTCGTGCTCTGTGGGGCGGTGTTGCAGTTGACGAAGGCCAGTATATCATCCAATTTGTTTCGCAAATATTTTATTTGTATGTGTATTACCACCCTGCTTGGACCTCGAGTCTGCAGTATTGAATAAATAAATAAATAACAAATCGTATGGTTAGCGGTGACGTACATAAAAAGCAAGTCGCCGAGCGTTAAAGCGTTCCGCGAGGCCATTCGTCTACGGGTGATAAGCAGTAGTTTCGCGGTGGACAAGAATGGCACTCCATAAGAACGGCTTTGTTGACTTCTAACAAGAAGACACGGCCTCGATCGCTCAGGAGCTCCTGAGGTGGACCGTGGCGAAGTATGAATCGGTGCAGCAGGAATGACGCAACATCTTGCGCAGTAGTCGCAGGGGTTGTCGTAGTTTCTGCGTATCACAGTAAATGCTCTACAGCGACGATGACTCAGCGGTTACCAGCCAACGTCAGAGGACGTGGTCGATGCAAATCGATAACTACGTGCCCGAACGGGTGGTCAGGGCAAGGTAACGCTTGCAAACCCGCTGGCGACATGTGTGCTTACGGTTTGCGGCGTTGACCAGCGAGACAGGAGCGAATGAACTGCTGCACGTAGCGGTAAATCCCACCCCAGAAGTGGCGTTGTCGAACGCGGTGGTAAGTTTCGGATACCCCAAGGTGCGCACATTCCAGATTAGGGTAGAAAGAATCACATATGTCTTACCGCAGACTGCGGGGTATCAAGAGTAACTACTGCCAACCATCAGCGTCATATTTCAGTTGGTGTAGGAGGCCGTCACGGATGGCAAAGTGGTGAGCTTGACGACGCAAGGTACGTGTGGATGATGTTGCGGATGGATTAGAGAGCAAGTCGATCAGCGAATTGATCCAAATATTTTTCGCTGTTTGGTAGCGAGAATGTCAACATCGATTGCAGAAACAGCAATCGAGGATACTGATTGATGGATATGTGGGGTTTAATGTCCCAAAACCACCATATCATTATGAGAGACGCCGTAGTGGAGGGATCCGGAAATTTTGACCACCTCGGGTGCTTTAACGTGCGCCCAAATCTGAGCACACGGGCCTGCAACATTTCCGCCTCAATCGGAAATGCAGCCGCCGCAGCCGGGATTTGATCCCGCGACGTGCGGGTTAACAGCCGAGTACCTTAGCCACTTGACCACCGCGGCGGGGCAATCTAGGATACTGAGCAGGGCCCGTCATATTCAGGCAGAAGGGAGCGCGAGAGAATGTCGGCATCAGCATTCTGGCGTCCGTTGCGGTACAGAAGGTGGATGGTCTAGTCTTGTAAGCGAAGAGCCTCATGGGCGAGACGGCCTCAGGGATCTATAAATGATGACAGCCAGCATAGTGCATGATGGTCGGTGACGACATCGAATGGGTCACCATACACATAAGGTTTAAACTTTGTGAGGGCCAAGACAATCGCCAGGCACTCGTTTAGAAGCGAAGCTCCTTAAGCGACACCCGTTCGTCCCTCGTCATAGTCGTGGTGCGTAACCGGTTTTGCGTTTTGATCTGCAAGGTGGTGCCGGTGGGAAATTTCTCCTGTCTGTTGTTGAACAATACAAAAATTCAAATCATGCGCATTCTCCTGTCTCTCAATCCCCATTAGCAGCCATTGGCAGGCAAATCGCCTAGCATTCTGTTAACTGCAGTTCTGTCGCGGGCATTTGCGCCTCACGGTCTCGCCTACCGCAAGTATAGCAAAATTGGAAGCACGTACCGCACTGACGTTTGCCTGTCTTTAGTATTTCAAAACACGTAATTGCATTTTAACACTGTTTCGAAAATTGTGAGATGTGCACTCTTTTTTCGTCCCACATGTTCCTGGAACTGTTGAGTAAGCGCGAGTTATTATTATTTGCTTATTTATTTATTTAAAAATACTGCAACACCAATAAGGAATTTTCGCAGGATGGAACACAAATATTTGATACAACTAGTAGGGTGAACAAGACAATGAAAATGAAACTATGTGTGGTACAAAATCTATGCAGATATATATAAAATTGAAGCAACACCTCAAATACAATTATCAACACGACGAAAAGTAAAATAAGCTTGTTGCACAAGATGGGAGATGAATAAATTCAGAGATGGCTGCAACACCGCATCCTTGGACAGTTGATTCCATTCATTTGAGACCTTGGAAAAAAACTGAATACTTAAAGCAGTTGCTGACAAAGGGAGCGGTTGCAGCACAGCGCGACGTAATAATGACGCCTACCAAGCTTACGGCATGGCGCTGTCAAGGTACAAAGGTTGTCGCAGAGATAACGCCGTCAGCGCGCGGTAGTACACGCTCTGCCTCAAACCCTAGCCCCCTCTTGCGCGAAACGTGTGTTTGCGGCAGCGCACAGCCACTTCAAGCGCTTCAACAGCCAGGCACCGGCGCTGGATTAGACGGCGCCCCCAAGGCGCCATTTGGCACTGGCGTCGTGGCGGACTTCAAGACACGTAATCAACGTTTCCCGCCTTTCGTCTCGGTCGTGTTGTGCGGACTCCCCTCGGCGCACGGTTCAATCCGTTCGAGTGTTGGTTTTCGTCGACATATTGTTCAGACAAGAGACTGCGACGACATTTGACGATCTTCAGGACAGGACTTGCTGGGAATTTTACCGCAGGTACGTGAGCTTCAGTTTGGATTTTGCTATTGGTATTCCACATAACAGGCATGCGATAGTATATGCGGTCTAAGTAAGGCTCAAGGCGCAGCACTCCTGATCAGTTAGCAAACCGTATAATCTTTAATAAAAGCATAACGCCCGTGGTACGATGGCGTGAAATAAGGTTCCTGTTGCCAAACAGTTTACTGCTCTGACCAGAGTGGCACTAGAAGGTTTATCTTTTGGGCAATAACCATTCGAAACCGTACATTGCCACCCGTTGAGCGCTTAACTTTTCATGTTGGTGGTTGTTAACGTTTGAGCTGAACGTGTCGCGTGGGCTCATCGTTGTGTATTTGTGTTGTGCTGAGAATGGTCAGGGTTTACTAGTTCAAGCTGGCGCTATGCGTTGAGTGACGTAAACACGTGTTTCTTGTGAGAAAAGTACGTGTCGCTATTCCTATAGGTGTGCGCAGGCTTCTCCTTTGGGGAAGGAGTGAGGTTTGTCGCAGTGCCCCCCCCCCCTTCCCCATTATACGTCTATGTATGGGGCTGACTTTGAGCGCCTAGTGCGCACGCCTATTATACTGTCCGTTGTTACATGTGGCTAAATGCCTCGACCCATATTTTCGCGTGTTACACGCGTATGCTTCCCTGGCAGTGCACGTAGTCAGGGAATATTTTCTGGAGCCCTGGTGAACCGGTGGAAGTGATGAGGACCCCTTGTAGTGATTGAAAGGTCATAAACTAACACAGCATGCTGCGTCAAATAGGTGCCTTTTATTTCTCTCTGGTATGGATTATTTCAGGTTGCCAATTCGATCTTAGCAGCTTGCCAATGGGTTGAGTGGTCTGCTGCCAAATTCCACCTGTTTCTAGCTACGTTTGGCCTTGAAATGTGCGAGCATAAAAAAATATTTCTGCATGTATATGCCGTAGAAAACCACACCAGATTGTTTTTAGCCATTTCGTGGGGAAAGGGCCACATAAGTCAACTCCGCTGCAAGAAAAAAATTGTCATGCGGTGATGCATACCAAAAATAAAAAGGAGCAGTTGTTACGGGAGGTAGTGTTTGTTTGATTGTTTGTTTGTATTATTAATGAGTTTCACGCAACCCCGTTGTGAAAATTTCTGGTGCAACACGCCTTGTGTTTTTTTTTCGTCTCCGAATTGCTGTTTCATATTTCCTCGAGTTTGTGTGTGGTGCTTTCAGGTAGGTAATTAAAGGTGTAATATTACGTAGTGGGTGGAGTCATTTCTGACCTGAAAACCAGTTCTGATCCGACCACTGCCTTGTACGAAAATATTCTCCGATTGTAGTGAGCTTTTTTTTTGTGAAGTTTCTCGTCTGCACTTGCAGCTGCTATTGTGGTGTGCACCATGGAACCAGACTGAGACGCTCAGAGAAGGTTAAATCTTTAAAGGACCAATAGGGTAATAGCAAGTGGTCATTGCTATTTGTTTACGGCACTGTATTTCTTTTTGAAAGACTCGGTATTCGTCCATGCAGAGCGAGTAAGTGCTGGCACCTTTCGGGGATTATATGTATTTTGTTTTTTGCTTTACCTAGCATCCTCTTTGTTTTCGTTATCAGTAAGTTTTTGCTATAGTATCCACGTATTGCAATGTGCGGTCGCGCGATGGTTAGTGTGGTGTCGACGATGATATTTGTTTGCCCTTAAACTTGTCCATCCCGTTTCTCAACAAGATAGACAATCCCTCCTCACCCGTTAATTCCCTTCAGTTGCGGAATCACATCTGTTCACAGGCGAATACTGGTACATAAAATGATGTTAATGCTCACCTGCCTGCGTGTTTCCCCTCTTTTCTTTATTGAATATACTGAACGACATAGCTGTTGAAACTCGCCGTGATTAGTCAATGGGGGAACGGAAAGGATCACCATAGATCTGCTTCGCGTCCCAGAACGCGTGCGCCAATTTTTCTGGCCTGGGGTGCATGCAGCATGGCCCGAGCTTCTCGGGCAGCCGAGTTTGCTCCGAGCTCGCTTGCGGTAGCTGTGGCAGGATGACAGTGCGGAGCGCGTGATAGCCGTGTTGATAGAAATGGCTACACGAATGCGCGTGGCGTTAGAAACACATGTTGGGCATTTGCGGTGGTTATCAAAGAAACACCGCGTGCGAGCACGTCAGCGCCACAACTTACTCAGCATTTTAGCAGTGCAGTGGTGTTAGCGTCATTGTCGTGCTGTATTTTTGCCAACTCAACACGCGCCTCCCACAGGCGTGTTCGTGGGCGTATCTCCTCTTTCGCACAGGCTCTTTCGCTCCACCTGCTGCATGGAAATTTTCACTCTCGAAGGCAGCAAGGCTGCTCACGCAACGCTCTCGTGCTGATTCTTTCGGTTCCATCAAGTATTACGGATATATGTAAGGACAAGTGGTCACCAGGGGTGCTCGCATATTGTCGGCAACGCGGCTGTGATTGGATATGTCGTGATCGTGGTTAAATGGGGTATGGGATCTTAGGGAGGTTTAAAATATTGTTTGCAGCTGCTGCGGGCGTTGCTGTAGTTGCAGGTGCCATATGAGTTTCAGAATAGCGTTTGCTCTTCCTGAGAAAACTTTCCCCACGACCGCTAACCCAAATGCACGGAAGCTACACACAGCGATTCGCGGGCGTCACGGGCAACGGTCGCCGCGTGCTATTTGGGATTTTCTGCAGGCGGGCCGCGAACGTGAACGGCGGCTCGCGTTACAACGCATGTGCAGTGGCAGCTACCGCACCGCAAGGGCTCGCGGTGCGCTATTACATACCTCCCTTATAGTAGCAACGTGCCTTCCTTTACTTCTGCGTGCGTGTGTGCATAGCCTGCGCAGTAAAGCTGGTAGATGAACCCTGCGCTCGCTGGCGCTGTGGCGTGAGCACTCCTCCTCAGCAAAAGCAAAAGTGGTGGGCGGATTCGATGCTCGCCGCGGGCTTCTGTCTATTAAACTGATGGATGAGTGAACTCGGATACAAACTCGTTGATTCTAAGAAGGCCCGAGTTCAATTTGTGACTGTGATGGTGCCGCGGAGACTGTCAAGCGTTTGAGGCGGTGAACTCTACGCGGCAGCTTCCTCGCATATGAAACATGCGACGCGCTTTTTATCCCCCTCTGTCCGTGCACGCGCTTCTCTTGAAACGCCTACAGCGTGTCACAGCGTTCGTGTGCGACGCGGACCGCGTGTCACTGGGACTCCGGTACGCGTTCTTTGCAGTGCACGTGGAAGTGTTCCCGTGCTCTTGTGGGACGCACACAACGTTTTTGTACGACCACTGCTTGAGATAGCTCAGCCGATGGTTGCATTGCCAGTCTCCAGTCATGATAGGGGGCACTTCTGCACTCAGTGGAATGACCAACAAATGAAAGAATTGAGATGCCTCTGGTTTGAAAACACCACCCAACTTAGCCAACCGTCCCTAACGCGATGGCTGGTTCGTCATAACCAATAAATGCAGCACAGTGAGGGGTGGATTTGACGTTTTTGTACTGTTGGCTCATTAAAAAAAAGGGGGGGGGGATATGAGCCCACAGGTACATCAGTGCACGACTACACCTCACTTATATGAAATGAGACGTAGCAGCTTCGCCTTTATATGTGCTCAAGTGGAATGTCCAAAATGTTGAGATGCGTTTTTGAGGAAACGTGCTCCTAACATTGGTCAAGTGTATTCCTCTTTATTTTCCAGGAAGAAACCAGCATTGCAGAAAAACTCCCTGAACTGTCACACACCCCTACTATCATTGCACTTGGTATGTTCAAATATGAGCTTTCACTGCATTGTTGTATATGTCCGAATAATTATATAGCCTAAGTTGCATTGAATTTGCCTCACATGTCATCACCACATCTGCTCCCTTTATAGGAGGAGGGCAGGAATGATTGTGCTGTCAGAAAAGATTATAATGTGCTCCTTTTTCTGACCATGTACAAGAGTTTATTTCCTTTCGTTAGGGTTTCTGCTGGCTGTGCTTAAGAAATGTTTTTGTCTTGTGTATTGAACAGGTACTCTTTCTTTTTATCTCTATTAACTTGTGAGTACAGCTTTTAATGTGCTCTGGTGGTGGAAAACCCTGTCAGTGATAACCACAAGCAGCCTGCATATTCATTGCATCACCTTGGCTTGCTTAAGTGAGAAGATTGGTTGAAATGACAACGTAGCACATTGTCTGCTGCAAGTTGTCATCATGAGGAAAAAGTGGAGCAATTCACATTACCGAACCGTATTGAATTTGTGTGCACTGAACTATTGTGTGGCACACATCTAAAGCAAACAACGTGTCCGATTGGCTGCTTAATTAAAGATGTGGCTTTTGACACTATCTGTGCCAAAATTTGTTTCTATGCAGCTATGCAACTGACAGCCATCTAAACTAATTCTGTGGTGGGCATCTGTCACTGTAGAGCCTTTCACTGCAAGTTATCAAAAAGTAGAGGTGTTTTTCACATAAAGCTCTAAAGTCATGCAAGAACCTTTCTTAATCGGCTCTCTAAGCACTGTTCAGTGCTCATCAGTGAGTAATGAAGGAGATTTTTGAATCTCCTGTGCAGCTTGCTGCACTCACAAGGAAACAGCTGCTGCTATAACTGTGGGAATACTTCATCACTGCTTTCTAATAAGAATAGTGTTTCAGGCTTAGCTGCGGTAATGCGAGGGAATGTGCTGCACATTCTATTAGCCCTTCGTCATCTTTTCAAACATAATAATGGCGTAGTTACAGCTCTGACTCATTAAAATCAGTGTCATTGCTGCTGAGGGAGTGAGTCTGTATTCTGCTTAGCAGAATTTTTAGAATGTAAGAGCCGAAAACCCTCACCAATCAGTTAATGTATTCAGTATAATTGGTCCTTTTTAGGTCGCACTTGAAGGGGCCTTGAAACACTTTTTCAATGTAACCATGATATGGATTCATGAAAAGATTTTATTGTTTCATGAATTCAATACCGCGATCTTTCAAGAGTCCTTCTTGTACGAGCGGAGTAACAAAAATTTGACGCACTCTGAAATTGCATTCTCTCTTCTCTCATCCCGACAAAAGCGCTGGAAGCTAAGCAGGGGGATGGGAGTTGGGGGGTGGCATGGTCAATAAAAATACGCCACTCACGCCTCATGATATTGAGAACTTCTTTTTTTTTAACCGCAGCTTTTTTAAAGGGATCGCGTGCGCACACGTGGACAAGTCACAGCCTCCCGCGGCGATCCTTGTAATGACCAAGGGCGCCATGTTAAAATCACCCAATGTCTAGTAGAAGGCCTTCTTGAGGTTGATCTATCATTTGCTGAGAAGAAAGAGCAGTGTTTAGCTAAATTTGATAATTTATTGTGAATTGCATGCCATGTTCCAAGCTATATTACATAGCTCGCGTGTAGTCAAGAATCAGCAGCGTTTTGAGACCATGTTTAAAAAGTGTTTCAGGGCCTCTTTAAGCCACCAACCCCGAACTGTACTCATCAAGAGCTTTTGTACCGCTTCCGAAGACACGTCACAGATGTCAATTACTTTGCTTGCAGTTTTCCGCTCTAGACAGCGGTTGTTGTCCATCAAAAATCACGTTTAGTGCCTTTCGCGCGTGTTTTAATCTCGGCAACAGTCATTTCATAATGCTGTTTTGTAAGAAGAATGCCAGTGGCAGCATTAGTGGCAACATGAAATTTGTTGCCGACAGTGACTCAAACATTGTGGTTGCCCGGCATATTGCTTCTGATGACGACAAGAGCAGCAGTCACGGTGATGTCATCAGCAGGCATCGCGTGAACGCTGATAACCGACCACTTGCGCAATAAACATCTTAGCACTTTTCAGTGTGTTACCATGTGTTGCATAAGGAAAATTCTTCAGGTTTCAGTATGCTGTGACCCATTACCAGGTCATTCAATGAGTAAAAGCTGCGCTCAACAGCAGTTTTTCTTTTTTAAATTTTTGTGCGAATTCCGGAAATCAGCGTGATAATAATTTGAAAATCAGAAATGCATAGACATATTGAGGTATATAGTAAAATATTACAATTTTTGTACAATTTTTTAAGCTAACTAGGCAGTTATATGGTTAAGTGGAGAGACCTTTTAGTCAAGTGTTTTAATTTCTGTTTACTGAAAGTTAACTGTACTCAATATTATCTTATTTCATTTTCAGGGGCATCTATCATGTTAGTATATTGTGCAAACATTCAGTTCTCTGTTGGGAACCATAGGCCATCTGCAGTGACACAAGTTTTATTCAGCCATATGACAAAACTGCACTTGGCTTGAAACCCAATTCACATTTTGTGATCAGGTGCTTTGGATGCAGGTAATGTAGTGGGAACCTTTTGATAAAGCAGCTATACGTTTCAGACTACATTGATTATACTAATAACGAAGTGATTTCAATCCGTTGGCTTGTTTGCCATCGTTTCACAGGAAGCATTTTCAAGAAGGAATGCTTTGTGGCCTGCGAACAGCAGCTTCTTTTAACGAGGCTGTGGACTTTCCAGAGGTTACCAGTCTTTTACTTCTGAGCTACTACATTTTCAACTTAGCTTATGCAGACCCTGTCACGACAACACTGGAATTTCTTCAGAGGTGAGATGTGCTGATGATGCAATCAGTCTCGAGGTCTTGATCCACCCCAGTGGTCTAGTGGTTATGGGGTTATACTGCTGACCTACAGGTCGTGAGATCCAATCCCAGCCATGGAAGCTGAATTTTAAATGGAGGCGATAATGCTGGAGGCTCATTTGCTTATAATTAGGGGCCTACTAAAGGACCTCAGGTGGTTCCAATTTCTGAAGCCCTACACTAAAGTGTCTCTCACAAACATATTAGGAATTTGGGACATGTAACCCTTGAAATTGTGAAAACTGATAAGAAATCTTGGAAGCCTAATATCTTGCTAAAGCTGAAGATGAATCTGTCAATACTGGATGATTAAAATAGGTGTTTTGTTCAAAACCTACTGGTAGTACAACAATACCTATGCCTTCTATCTTTGAATAATTTTAGAGATTTTTTGTGACAAGGCGTTGTTCTGACGTAGACATAAGGGATCAACTTTCAGTAACAATTCAGTTGGCAGTCTAGCGCTAGTCTTGTTGGGTGTGTTGCTTTATTGCCATCATTCTTGTTTTTTGTGCTGCTTCAAGTCGTTTATAGAAAACAACAAATGAAGGAAAATGTTTTTGATGAGCTCATTTGTTTTTGTAAGAGGGAATAAAATAAATGCAACAGACATTAGGGCCAAAGAAATTTTTATGGACATTATACAATTTCTTGTGTCTGCTAATGCATTACTACACATTTTGGTTAGTTGCGACTTGAAGAAGTGCTGTTGATCGCATTTCAACATTTAAATAATTTTAGTTCGTAATGAATATAATCCCTGCACTAGGCACTGCTTGAAATTTCTTATGGTGCAAAGAAAAATGCTGAAGTCTTGCTCTTGTCTGTGAGGCTTAGTTTTGAGGGGAGTTCTTTGCCTTTGTGGGTAGTCAAGTAATACTTCATTGTATACCTGCATTTTGAACTATATCAATAAAAGTGTTGATGTCACCCACAAACTTTATTAGGACAAGAATATAGTAGGCCTATGTTAAACAGAACTTGAAGGTACCAGAAAAAAATGTTATATCGAGTAGGAGTTACATTTACTGAGATCAACAAGGTTGAAGGTTGAGTTCGAAACCAATCATTTTACATGCAGTTGTTGCATTTAAGCTTTAGTTCTGTTTAACATTTCTGTTTACTTTGAGGTAACTGTGCTCAACGTCATCATACTTTATTGCCAGGGGTCTTTATTATGTTTTTCTATAGACAACTACCGCTGCCTTCTACTAAGCAGCATGGCAAATTGAGCAAGCTGGTATATGTTCTACATAGCTTAACTGTGCAGTGGTATGATACACAAAAAAAAAGCTTGGACAAACAAGCTTAGTTTTTGCTAAGCTTCTTTCTTCATGCTGTCCCACCAAATCTTTCGACTATAATATGGTAATAAAATCAAAGTTACCTTGTTCTCAGTATTTTCTCACTTGCCTCGTTACCTGAATAGTGCACTAATTGTAGGGAAGTTATTGCAAAACGAAAGAAAGAATCAGCAGCTAGCGTCTGAGATGCAGTGACATGCAACTGGTTTCAATTTTGTGCCCAGGCATGGAGCTTATGGCTTTGGCAGATGGCACTGTGCATTTTAAATATTGCCTATTATTCTTTATAAATCACAAATTATGAGCACTTCAAAATTAAAAAAAGCATCTTTGAGATGCTACAAAACCAGAAATAAATGCGATAGTGACTTTTTATAGTATGAACTGATGTTGCAACACACCGAACTAAATCGCCAGCTAACTCATTTACATGCCTTTTAGGGAGATGTTTAACGTAAACTCGGAAAGGGGCAGTAAATTGTCTAAGGGCTGCAAATCAAGGACCACTGTGAACAACAGGATAATGAAGTTAGTGCAGCAGTTGCGCTGAAGAACTGATGTTGTAAGTCGACTTTTTCTGGTGTTATTTGCTGATCTGTAGTTTTATTGTGCGTGTATACTTTGTTATTTAATATGGTTTGCATGAATAATTCAAAGTTATTCAGAAATGTGAGGAGATCTACCATAAGAAGTTTTTATTGAAAGAAGACAAATGTTTTGCACAAGTTTCCCTTTATGAAAAGAAAGCAATTTTTTTCAGATTTGCTCGGTGTGCCACCGCTCACGTTGCACAAAAGCAGAGTGGTATTCAGAATCATACACTAAAGGCTTGTTCATTCAAACGTACGTCGAATTAGAACTGATGCCCTAGTCCCGGCACAGCCCTGTGTATTATTTTATGGGGAAAGACTCCTGATAATTCGAACAACTCATTGTGCACGTTACCAATTTGAACTGGGAGCCCTCTGGTTTCATCGCTTTTTGCGGAAATTAGTCTAGAGTGATTACTACCATATGTTGCAAAACGAGACTATGTATAAATTAACTAGAGATTCAAACCAACAGAACAGCAGATTTTCTCAGCAGATGAGATTTCTACTAAAACTCATGGTCCGTCACCATTATTTGACAGAGTTGACACTCTGCCTGACTTTTCTGACGGGAAGCAGTTGACAAACCCAATTCAGTTTTATTTTCATGTGCAGGCATTTCTCGGACTCTATTGGTAAAAAGATGCGCGCTGGATTTTATATTTTTCAGGGCTGAGAATAAAGATTTGCTTGCACCTTCTTCAACTAAGTCATGATGTCGTTAGCTCCGAGTGGCAAGACTGGTTTAATGTACCTTCCTCGCAGAGCCACAAGGTCATGATGTATGCTTATTCAGGCAATCTGTGCCCTTTTTTTTTCTTTTTTGTCAAGGCTCAGTGTCACCCTCTGTATTCTTGGTTTTCCGGTTTTACGACATCCGGATTATACGATGGTTTTGAGTGATCCCCTGGAAGTCCTGTAATTGGGGTCCCACTGTAATGTCAGCATGGGTTTCGTTTTTGATTTATTGCCTGGATTACATTTCACGTAGTTAAGTACTGAGACACAGAGTGCGACAAGCTCCTGACAGCTTGAATGTCTAGTGCAGATTCATTCTTGGGCCTGGATTTTCTGAATCCTCAGAAGCTGGGGTCTGTACAGCTTAACAGCACCAACTGGCAGGCGTTATGCTCTAAAATGTTCGAAACATTGATTGTACAATAAGACAAAGTTCGGCAGAATCAAGCTGCCTGTTTTTGAGCAAACATATTGAGCAATTTGGACGAGTGAAACTGGCACCACCGGTGCCCGTTTCGGAAGGGTCTGACATTGGAGCAGAAAGTTCAACTGATACGTCAGATGAAAGAAAAAAGGCCGGCAAAGGTGTGAAATCGCAAGACAACTCGAAATACCACTGCAACAATATCAATTGTTCTAAAGGATAAGAATCCTGTACGGGACAGCTTTGAGAATTTCTCAGGAAATTAAAGCGCAACCATGATTCTATGCATTCTGAAGTGGGAAGAGTGCTGCTAGAATAGTTGAAAAGCATTAGAAGTACAAATCTTTCTGTAAATGTGTTTGTATAGACTGCAGAATCCGAGGTTCTAGACACCTGACTGGGCAAGCAAGATTTAAAGTGCAGCAAGGACTGGCTTGAGCATTTCAAAAGACGGCACGATGTGTCTTAAAATTGATCATTGGTGAAGGTGCAGCCGTGGACCACGGTGTCGTAGACGGATAACGCAAGCGTCGGTTGACCACCCTACTTCATCAGAACGCAGATAGAGACATTTACAACTTGGACGAGGCCGCATTCTTTTACCAACTATTTGAAAGTGCGTGCAGCCTACAAAGGGCGAAAATTTATCAGGATGTAAAAAAAAGCAAAGAATGCATTACAGTGCTGTTGGGTGTTAACAAAATAGGGGAGGACAAACTTCCTTTGCTGATACTGGGAAAGGTAGCAAAGCTCCAGTCGACTAGCAGGCCAAAATAGTCAACTTGATTGGAGGCCCTGATGAGGAAGATGAGCCGCTAGACTAACAGCTCCATGAAATATCAACAATGGCACAAACACAAAAGAGCCTCCGTCTGTTGCAAAATAGAGTATAGGGCCCGAGCGGCGACGATGACCTCATAATTTGCCTTAACAAACTCAAGCAGGCAATCCTCGCGTCCAGCCAAAGCACCCGACAAAGATAGCTGAATGACTTTTATGTGTGTGAATAGTGATATATTTCACGTGATACCACTTCTGGGAAGTAGTCATAGCTAATTTGACTGTACCTGCTTTTCTTTTATAGGGCAGTTTCCTATATCGAATTACTGCTTATATCGAATTTTTTCACCGTCCCGCTGACTTCGTTATTACGAGGGTTTACTGTACTTATTGCTACAGAAAAACAGAAAGTAAAGTTTTTTGTAAGTGCTTTAAGGAGTTACATAATTATGATTTCTAAAGGACAGCCTAGCAATCATGCTCAACGTGGTCACCCTTCAGTGCCTCCCTTTTGTGGCATCCACGCAGAAGTCAGTCAACTTTTTTTGTTTTGAATGATAATTTTGTTCACTCCTTCAGACATTTTAGGTATACATGTCTTTTATTCTTCGAGGAGTTTGGTTGTACTGTGCATGCATTAGAGCCGCGTTATGTGTTTCATTTGTTTTTGCTAGGTAGATGCAATAGTATTTTGTTTTGGCGAAGATTGCCTTGTTTCATTAGTCAGGTATTCTAATATTTTCTGTTTGTATTGCTTTTTTTCAGGTAAACCATAAAACATGGTGCGATTGGCAAAATAAATTCCACCTGTGTATGTTCAGAGTTTATATGGCAAGTAGTAGTATGTATGCACACTTCGTGTCAAGGCTATGAACTGTCTCACTCTTTGTAGGAAGCAGAGTGAATGCTATGAGCTCGGCTGAGAAAATATCAGGTTATGTTACCACAGGAGGCATTTTATTGCTTTACTGTAGTCTACGTGCTGAACTTGAAATGGCACTGTTATCTGGGGCAATGCATACCGCAGAAAGATGTGCTTTTCACAGTGACATGCTACCACATTTGATCAGCTAGCAGAATCGCAAAGTTTACTGACCAGTACCAGCAGCTGCTTCCACTTAACTGCTGAAGAAACGCTGAAGTTCAAGCAAAGCATGCACGACCATGTTTTTTTTAAATATTTCACGCAGTCAGTTGCATTACATTACAGGTGAAATTATAGCATAGCGAATTGAATACACAGTTAAGTACTGAGTAAACAAAAACAGATGTGTATATTCATTGTCCAAGCTTGGACATCTATACTGGTCAGAAAAACAAGCTTCGTAATACTTTATTTACAAATTCACACATCATAGTAGGCTTCTGCGAGTCGTGAATTTGAAGTTCGAAGTGAATGTAATTTAGCTGGAATAGTTTTAAATTGAATTCGAATAGTATATTACACATATTATAAAAAAATGGCCATGTTCATCATCATCCAACCAACTTGCACAATATTATTTTCAAGTGAAACAAGGCGCGCGGAAATGTCGGTCTTTTTGGTTCAAAGGAAGTGCAATTAACTTTGAATAATGCTAGCATAATTCGACTTTTTGCAGAATGCAAGTGAAACTAGTATATTATGTTACATATTAGGATTTGTTATACTTGGAGCATATAAGCCAGTATAACAATCTTTTAAAGTTGAAAACGAAAAATTGATTCGAAAGCAATATGTCAATTTAACCTATAATAGTAAGGCTTTGCAGCAGTGCGAGTTATTTCTGCAAAGAAGTTTTTATGGCATAGCACTTCTATACTGCAGTGAAAAAACTTTTTGCAGTGGATTACATGCACCTATGTGTTGCACGTAATTTCGGGCACCTAATTTTCAATAATTTATACTCTATTCAAAATTAATTCAAATGCATCATTATTCATTTGAACATCTATCTATCTATCTATCTATCTATCTATCTGTCTATCTATCTATCTATCTATCTATCTATCTATCTATCTATCTATCTATCTATCTATCTATCTATCTATCTATCTATCTATCTGTCTATCTATCTATCTATCTATCTAGCCGCCTACGACTTTAAGCTCTCCTGGTCGTTTAGATAATGGTATCGATACCAAACTTGGTGTGGCTTAACATGACTGTATGAAGATCATAATTGACTAGTCATAACATGAAAATCACGACATGTATGTCATGAATGTCATGATTATTATTTCATGGTCCTGCAGCTCTTGCGTTGGTTTCGTTCACACGGCATGTTTCAAAACTGGTATGGCATGGCGTGATTGCATGGCAAACACAAGCGACAGACCCTAACACTAAAAACCTTAACCTGCGTGTCATGTAACAACATGACTACATGCCGCGCTCATGATGCCCTCGCAGGCGTTTTCCTTGCGTCACATATACCTAATTTGGTATTGCGGTACGTGAATGGATGACCAAGGTATGCGACTGGTGCAAACATGATAATCATGAGATGCGTGTCATGTAACAACATGACTACATGTCGTGCTCTTGATGCGCTGGTGGCCGTTTCGCTAGCTCTATTTATACCAAATTTAGTATTATGGGACGTGAATGGATGACGAAGGTGTGATACTGGTGCAAACATGATAAACATGAGATGCGTGTCGTGTAACAACATGACTACATGCTACACTCATGATGCGCTCGCGGCTGTTTCGCTAGCTTCACATGTACAAGACGCGGTATTACGTGACCTGAATGGACGACATAGGTAAATGACACATCCAAACATGATAATCACAACATGCGTGTCATGTAACAACATGACTACATGCCACACTGATGATGCGCTCGCGGCCGTTTCGCTAGCTTCACAAATGCCAAATTTGGCGTTAAACATTTGCCAAATTTGATATTACGTGACGCCAACGGGTGAAAAAGGTACGTGACTGGTGCAAACATGATAATCGTGAGATGCGTGTCATATGAGAACATGGTTAGATGCCACCGTCAAGGAAGGAATAAACTTTATTTTGTATCCAGCGTCTTAGTGGGCTGGGCTCCTGCCTAGGTGTACGCTAGGTCATGCTTCCTAACGGCTTCCTCAGCCCGCTGGATCGCCCATAGCTGATCCTCCAGGGCTGAACTGAGAAGCACGGGCAGCCAACGCGCGCGGAGGCTGTCGGTGGAGGCCGCCTTCTCATTAATTTTTTTGAATCCCTGGCATTTCCATAGTATATGTTTTAAGGAAGCTTGTGCCTGACAAATTTTTGCATTGAGCGGTCTCGTAGATCTCTGGATACATAGCATGTAGTAGCGCTGGATTCCTATAGGATCTGGTTTGAATTGTCGCCATTGGACAGACTGTGCCCTGTTGAGTTTATGATGAGGAGGGTGGTAAACACGCCTCTGTAATTTATGCTTTAGTAATTTCATTGATTGTTGTCATTCGGTCCTCCGTCTGCCAGACATTCGGAAATTATGACGAGGGATCAACATTAGTCGTAGCCCGGAAAGTGAGTCATGAAGCTACGTTGTGTGCCACCTCACTAGAGTTGATATCTCCCGTAGTGTCGCCTATGTGAGCTGGGAACCAGAGAATGCAAACGCATCTGTCGTCTTGGCTGGTTTTGCCTGTCCTAAGATTACACAGTGCTTCAGGGGAGATTCTGCCAGTTGCAAAGTTGCCTACAGCTGCTTGTGAATTGCTGATTATATAACACGCGTCAGTTTGTATTATAGCCAGAGCTATAGCTATCTCTTTCGCCGTTTCAACGCGTCTCGTGTGTATTGTCAGTCTTGTGGTGCATTGTTTCTTGTGGTTCACTACAGCCGCGACGAAGCAGCTTTTGTGTTTGTGACGAGCGGCATCTACGAAGACCACTTCTTTGTTGTTTCCGTAGCTCTTTGTCATCGTCTTGGCTCTGCTCAGCCTTCTACCTGCATTGTGCACGAGATGCATGTTTTAGGCAACGGAGGCACCATGAGCTTAGCCTGTACGACACGAGGAATGTCGCATTTGGTGCCAAATAATGTGTGGTAAGTGCTGCTAATTTTTCCAGGATGCATCTACCAGTCTTGGTTTAGAGAGGCGCTCGTACTGTGCAATACGTTGCGCCTCTATCAGTTCCCCAAGCGTATTATGTAAACCTAGCTCTAACAGCCTCTCATTACTTGTGCTTTGCATGAGCCCCAGCGCTTGTTTCTAGAGTCTTCTTATAAGGCTGTTTAATTTCATTTTTTCTGCTGCAAACTATCTAAGGTATGCAGAAACATACGTAATGAGACTGATGACAAACGCGTGGATTAGCCTTATGATATTTGCCTCTTTCATGCCGCTATGCTTATTCGTAATTCTTTTGATTAGGCGCATCGTTTGATAAACCTTCGCTTCGATATTGCGTAACGTTTCTCCGTTGGTGCCTTTGGCTTCTATTATTAACCCCAGTACCCTTATCTTGTCGACAATGGGTATGGTGTGTCCATCTCGTGTTTTAAGTTGTATGTGTGTGTAGGTATGTGCGTTGTCGTGCTTGGGAGTTTGGCCTTTTAATGTTGTTCTATATAGTAGCAGCTCTGATTTTTCTGCTGAGCACGTGAGACCTGTACCTTCTAGGTATTGCTCTACGGTGTCGATCGCTTCTTGTAAACGTTGTTCAATTGACCCATCGCTGCCGTTGCTTACCCACAGAGTAATATCATCTGCATATATTGTATGGTGCAAACCTTCTATTTTTTCTAATCTACTTGGGAAGCCAGTTAGGACTAAGAGTACTAACATAGGTGATATCACTGATCCTTGGGGTGTACCTGCACTACCCATAGATATTCCTCGGATGTGAGGCCTCCTACAGAGATTTTGGCCTGTCTATTCGTTAGGAAGTTTCGGGTGTAATTATACGTCCGCTCACCTAAACCTAATGACATTATCAAATGCCTTTTTTAGATCAAGCCCAAGGATAGCTCGAGTTGATCTGCTAGGGTCATCTATGATCGCGTGTTTTAATTGTAGCGTCGCGTCTTGTGTGCAGAGATTTTTCCGAAATCCTATCATTGTACATGGGAGTACGTTGTTGTCCTTCAGGTAGTTAGTCAATCGGGTCAGTAAGGCGTGTTTTATTACCTTACCCAGGCAGGAAGTTAGTGAAATAGGTCTTTGGTTTTCAAGCTGTAAGCGTTTGCCAGGCTTGGTATAAGCACGACGTGCGCCGTTCTCCATTGCTGCGGTATGTGGCCTTGTCTCCGGCATTCATTAATAAAGTCTGTTAATTTGCCAATGGACGTATTGCTAGGTTTCGCAGTGTATTGTTCGTAATGACGTCAAGGCCCAGTGCCGACGTAGTATTTAGTTTGTGTAGAACTGCTCATACCTCGGCTTCATTGAATTCTTCATCAAGGTCAGGATTCGGTGCTCCGTAATCGACGTGAGTGCATGGTGGTGCCTGGGATATGTATTTAAGCGTGACCTCTATTAGAAAGTCTTTTTCTGTGATATTATAGGCATGCAGAATTTTGTTCATATTTTGTTTGTGTACCGTTTTTCTTTCTTCTGGGTTTAGAAGGTGTCGAAAAAAATTCCACTTTTTGCCAAGGCTCACTTGGTTGCCCATGGTGGTACAAGTTTCTTCTTATTGTTGGCAATAAAGCTGTTTTGCGTATTGTTCGATTTCCTTGTTAAGTGTGGCTATCTTTTTTCTTAGTGTTCTGTTATGTTTCTGCGCTTTCCAACGTTTTTGCAGCCCTTGTTTGGCTTCCCACATATGTAATAGCCTACTGTCCAGAATTTCTAGCTTAGCTTCCGGTGGGACTATTTTTGATGCCTCCGAAATATCCTTCTTTAGATTAG